TACATTGTATACATTTAGTCTGCTTTTGATTTTAGTGAAGTGCGAACAGTGAACAATTTTTAATTTTTAAAATCAAATAAAAAGCAAAAATATAAATAAAATATAATTTGTAATTTCACATAAACTCACTGTAAGTATATGCAAAATTAAGTAAATATATTTAAAATGATAATTGAAATTTTTGTTTTGTATTATGTAGATGCTACTGCGTCAAGAACGATTAAATGACCAATGTGCTGCGAATGCAGTCATTCTAAAGCAAGGGGTAATCAGCTGTAGTCATGTAGTCAGCTGTTTCAATTGGAAAATTTTACAATTCAAACTGAGGAGGATTTAATTCAATTTAATGAAGAAATCACTGCCGTTGAAGTAGTTGTAAGTTAAATTATATATGTTTCTTACTTTCAATTTCAACTTATTAATATATTCACATGTAACAATTTTATTAATTCATACATTTCTTTTCATCTATTACGTTATTTATAGACTGCATCAATGAGACGCGTTATTAAAAAACAACCAATTACGCGAAAAATTTCCTGGAATTTTGGAGAATGGTACCCAAGGCAAGAAGTTCTTAAGAGCATTAGAGAATGTGACAGCAGCACTTTTTGGTATGGTATATTGTACATAATTAACTTTAGCGTATACAATAACATACTTTTGTATTTACAGATGCTTTAAGTACAGATGGTAAGCCGGAACAAGTGATCGAGTCGAGTCTGGAAATCTCTTCAAGGTGTTAGTAACAATTTCCAGAAAAATATTCATCTATATAAGTATGTTATATTTTTTTATGTAAATATTAATATTTTAATTTTATAAAACATAAATATAAAATATAATTTATCCAAAAAAATTTATAGTATTTTATTTAAAAATCAATAGCATAGGTAAAATTTAAAAGGTAAGCGAACATGTCAGCGCTGATATGTTGCATTACAAATTCGAAAAGGTAAGCTAACATGTCAGCGCTGATATGTTGCATTACAATTTCGAAAAAGTAAGCTAACATGTCAGCGCTGATATGTTGCATTACAAATTCGAAAAAGTAAGCGAACATGTCAGCGCTGATATGTTGCATTACAAATTTGAAAAGGTAATCGAACGATTCAGCGCTTGCCCGCAATGACATACACGTGTTAAAGTAATTAGGAGTTTCATTTGAATAATCAGCGCTAGGCATTACCATTCAGCGCTGAGGGAATCGATTCCCTCAGCGCTGAAAGTCCCGCTGGGA